TTTTAAAACGCACCGTGATATTTGACGCTAACCTTAAAAATAACTAACTCAGAATTGCAGACACCACTCAGCAGAAAATGATCCAAACGAGTGCATTCCGGATACCGTTGTGCACAGAAAATATCGCACCCCCGGTACCGATTATTTTTGTCCGACATCTCAATAGCATACTTATGTTATCATTTTACTCACAGCTAGGCTAAAACTGTGGGACATGGTTTTAGCACACAGGAACATGACGCAACTGGGTTAATGCATAGGGGCAAAAGACGAAGAACTGCTCGGACTCTGCATTAATAAAACTTTATTGATATTCCATGTACATATATATATATATACTACACACAAAATACATCATTTTTATTTTTATTTTGTATGATGGATTTTGAATACTGATCAGGGCAGCATACTAAGTACAAACATGTTTAGCGGTTGGCTAGTACAGTTGGCTAGTTCAGTAAAATTTTAATCGTTACTGCTTGTGTCGTTGATTCAGTACGATTGCCTGTATATTTTATCTGCTACAAGTACTTCGGACGGAGAAACTTCGTGGAGCTTCCCATTCTGTGACATTGTGCTTTCTTTTATCATCAGTAAAGAAATATAAAGGACATTTTGTATCATAAAAGAATGCAAATCAAAGCCATCTGAATTTGGCCTATGTTGGCCATTTACGAACAGCTTTCGGAACGACTAAATTAAAATAAAACAGTTAACATTAGTTTGATGAGAATTTTAGTGCTATGCATTTTTGGAACTGTACTTTCCGGAGAACACATTGCTTAACCTAACCGTTCTGTTTTCAGGACGCTTATTCCAAACATAAAATTAGCAACTCAATCTTCGGAGGGTATTTATAGTTGGGACATTAACACTGGATATAGGCATTCCAGTATGTGTGACATGTGTATAGAGGAAAAATTCACTCGCAAAGACCTTTGACCACCTAAATTAAAGAAGGAACATTTGAGCAGTCGTCCGGAAAATTTGTCACGATCCATTCAAATGATTAATGGATATCTAGGACGCCCTATATCCAATCCACCCGTCGAAGCCTGCACGGGCAAAGCTTGTCGATCATAGTAAATAAACCGGACTTGAAAGTGGGTCTTACAGGCTCAGAGGCATTTCGCACTAAAAATCTTTAAATTAGGACCATCAATCTCTGGCTACACAAATGGTCGCATGCGCAGGACATTATATTTGAACAGGCTTCTTGCAAGCAACATGCGGACGTGAAGTACAACGGCATTATCGCATCTTATGCATGTAGCAGTCAGTTAAGCTAAGGTAGATGGATAGAAAATAAATTGCACTTGAAAAACCAGGTTGTATATAAGGAAAGTCCAATGAATTCCTACTGACTAGACAAGTTATGTCATTACCCCTCACTCTAATTATCAGCAACTTGTATTAGGCAACCCTTCCTTTTACTAAACTTCGAAGTTTTTTCTCAGATGAGTTTAAAACAGTTCGTCGCGCTAACAATGTGGAATATTTCAATACAGGATATGCTGCTTATGTTGGGATTTTCAAATACTGCTGCCTCTGAGCTTCCCCATATCTTCTGATCTAAGTACTTGCTATACCACTTTTATTCATTAGCCTATCTGGCGTTGGTACCTGAACTCAGTGGACTGTATGCATCAGTGTTTTACAGCCGAAGAAGCAAGACTGCAGCACCGTCCACCATGACAAAAACTATTAACCTATCTGACGTTGGTACCTGAGCTCAGTGGACTGTATGCATCAGTGCTTTACAGCCGAAGAAGCACGACTGCAGCACCGTCCACCATGACAAAAACTTAGTGATTTGGCCCCTGTTTAGTCAGTGGACAAAAACTGTGAGTCTGTTGATGCTTCAGTGACATCGCAAGGATTTCAGTAAAAAACTAGAATAGCTTTTGACAGGTTGCAAGCAAGGATATTCGCAAACTGATCGGTGATAATCTAGCGACCCAGTTCATTTAAGCATTGCACCTAAGTAAGTAAGAAAACTCAATCTTAACCACCACCGTTGTTGTATTACTTTAAGTACTACTTTCTAAAGCGAATTAGAGGTTGGTTCTTGTTCACCCGCCCACTGAAGTGAGCTCTTGGGACTCAATTCAGATCGTTCGAACTGTGTGGGGCCGCATTAACCATTGTTGTCTTGATGCTGGAGGATCACTTCAACGAGCTTGTGCAGCGTTAGCATGTTCAAAGGCGAAAACTCCAAACTGATAACGAAGTACGAGTTCGCTCCTAGCAACATGGCTTTCGCTTTTACGGACAATGACGAATCGAAAAGCAACTGGCTTAGAGACCACATCCAGTGAAACAAGCAAAAGAGAGAGCTGTGGTCATACTATTTTTTAGATGATCATTATTGCGGAAAACTCTTGACAGCTTTTTTTCAAGACTGGTTAATTCGCTTCCAATACCATTAGGTTAAAACCTTTTTAAGCTGGGTTGTTTGAAAATATTAGTTTGTAGGAGATTGACACAGCATTTGCTGTGGAGACGTTTGCAAAAGTGTGGAATTGCAGTTAGACTGAATACGTGATACTAGCAAACTTAGGCTGAATTTTCATTTTCCGTGTTTTCGTGATGGTTCTCAAGGTAATGGTACAAAATTTTCCTTACTCTGACATGCCAAAATCTCTATGAGGAGCGTCATGGTATATCTCAGTGTGTTACAAGAATAATATTGGAAGTTGTGTGACACAGGTCTAAAACTCGACCAAATGAATGTTATTTTCTAAAACCGGAGGTACAGAAACCATAACCTGTCTTGTATGTGTAATTAAGAAGCCCAAAACGCCGGTCCAAATCCCCCATAACTAGTAGTTATTTAGAGTGGTTACCTGTCACTCTAGCTTAATCTTAATAAGGGTCAAAGAATGTGAGTTCTCGAAGCACCTCACCGTAATTTCTCCTTTTGTTGAACTCCATCCACATTAGGGCAATCCAACGTTGTTCCCGAAAGCCTAGTCAGTGTTCATCGGTTTTAACTGTCATACTAAGGTTCTGAACCACATGCAACTGAATCAAAGCATCAGACTTTTGAGTTGCTCCTATGGGATTTTGATTAGCTTCTTCAACTAAAGCACTATATAAAAGTGTGACATTTGATAATCGTCAATGAATTTACCTTTCCAGCCCAGAGTTTCCAAAAATCAATGAGGAGATACTCACAGGGATGCACTTTTGTTCGTTTTAGAAGCTTGGTTACCGTTTGAAAATACTCCGATTTATTACTCCATGTTTAGACCGAGTGAATTTGTACCGCAAAGCTGCATCTGCCCACATACTAGGAGGCATTTCAGGTAAACGCAGATGAAACTCAGACTATAATGGGATTCGTGTAGTTTGCGCGGATGTATCAGTTTCACCAAAACAATGAAGCATTGATCCAGTAACAGGCTACTCACGCCTGGTCGGATAACAATATTCTCCATTAGCTAAGCTAACACTATGATAATCAAGATTTTATCCTCTTAGTCGATTTCATCGGCGTTAAAGCTCAAAAACGCTTGTTGAGCAACCTCTTTCTTCTCTGATTAATCAAACAACCAGAAATCCAGTCTACATAAGTTACTATCCCTATTTCGCAATCTTCGATCCTATACGAGTGAATAGAAAACAAGCAGAGAGGACAACGATAGTATACTTAAAAAATCTGCAAGGAGATAGTTAGTCACTGATAAAAACGCTTCGTGACGATAATTCTTTGATAGATCCTTGGAAGTAAATGTGAATTAAAGTACAGCAGCGCCATCGATGCCTGTATATATGCGTCCGTCATACAAGGGGACACAGTTAGGTGGTTGTTCAAGCACAGATTTACTAAGTGGTTCAGGATCATCGTTTGAGCTCCCGGTTTAGGCATAAATTCACAACCATTGAAAAACTGACCGTCTGGTTGTTCAAGCAGATTTACTAGAGTGGTTCAGATCATCGTTTGAGCTCCCGGTTTAGGCATAAATTCACAACCATTGAAAAACTGACCGTCTGATCAGGCTAATTCGATTTGTGGCAGTCAGTTAGCTTACTCCTGCTGGACTCTATCAGTTAAGTAACAGAACTGTTGTGTAAAGGAATATCTGAAAATAGTAGTCACTAAAAGACCCCAATTGAGACCTAAATAGCTCATTTTAAGCTCCTCTGGTAAATTCAACTCAGTGTCAGCGGACAGAAACAGTACACCTCAGCGTTCCAAGTGAGCCATATTAAACATGTGACGCAACTTCACCCACTGATTCATACCTGCTCTGGCCATCCCTTTGTGCCCTGACCTATGTGTCACTGGCTCGTTTTAACCCATGCGTACACATGGGGCTGATAACGAGATATCAGGTTTCTGCCATCTAGATATCTGTGACCCCTGCGTAAAGTGATTAAAAAGTACCTTGGGTTTAGCTCGCATATGTATTTAGTAATCTCACGTGTTGGAAAACTAGGACTAATAGAAACCTACATCAAATCTTCAATATCTAGGAGCTAGCATAAAAATCTGAAATCATCGGTTTGGAACAGTTTCTCCCCCATTTGGTTCTCCGGCTGTTTTTATGCAAAGCAGCTGTGATGGAAAATTCAAGTTGGTCTTTTAATGTGGTTTCACTACATAACACTGGATGTATAACAAATCGATTCAAGTCAATAAGAGGTCGATGCAACCGGATGTGAGTTTTCATTGAAAATATTCTACCCAAAATATGAAACGAAGGCGTTTACAAAACATGAAGTATCCGTCGACATGAGTCCAGGATGACAGTAGAGCTTCAAAGCCATCCAAAAACGTCGGTTTGTTACACAAAGTAACTCCTTCGCCACCACTCTAAAGGAAACATTTGACCAGAGCGCACTTGAGTCCTTTTTTGGGCCTTCATTACATTACAGCTCAAAGTTTTTTCAGCTCTGTTCGTAAAATGTTCAGTAATGGAATGTCCAGTCAGAATTTAGTGCCTATTCTTACCTAGGAGCAGTTATCTGAAGCCACATTTCATTCTCCTCTTCAGCCCATTTTTCAAACCCGATATTCACTTTTGACGCTCAATCAGGATCCAGCAGAACATCCAGTTATTTTCCTGGCCCACAACACTGTTTGCAAGTACAAGACTTCCGAGGCTCCAGCATGGTGAGCGAAGTGTGTGATCAACCCCAGCAGCCCTTACTTGAATACAGAATTCAACCAGCATTAATGGAGCATATCAACTATCCGGAATACTTATCTTCTGGTAGCAGTGCCGCCGCCGCGGCTGCAGCGGCTGCTGCAGCCGCAACGGCGTTCACCGCTGCAGTTCTGGCAACAGAGGACGTCTCTAATGCATGCCTACCTTATTATGAACATCCTCATCAAATAATCGATCATCAGAACGTCAACGGATCTGAATTATGTTCCACTGCGGAAACGTTAGTACCCATAACGGATGGGCAACCGATGAATAATTCCACGGACCCTATGATTGAAATTCGTCCAATCACTTCATTAGAGGATGCATCTGGACAACGAGACGCCAGCCCGTTCATACTGAGTTCTGCGTCACAATGCCTGATTTGTGGGGATCGAGCCACTGGTCAGTATGTTTTAGTCTCATTGTCTTTCGTTTACCACTACTTATCATTACCGGTTACCACAGACTTTTTAGGACAATATTTGTGCTCTTGTCCCTGGAGAACGTCATTTAACGAGGTTTAACTTTCCTAAATATCCCTTATCTGCACAGCTGTTCCGATAATGAAAAAACGTTGGGCCTAAAATACTGATATTACTGCATACTATTCAGTGTCAGTGCCCATACTGCGTTCTCGAGGTCGGAGAGTTTTCCATTTTATGAAAACTTCCACATGAATACCATATTCTACTGCAGTTATGTTGTAATCGATCTCATGCCCGCTATTCTTTGAACGTAGGACGTGAATTTTACCATAAATGTATTAACCCTCTTTCAAGGGAGAACCTGCCTCGACAGAGTCTCATTAAATCGCCATCTGAATTCTTTATGGAATAATGTGGCTGAAGTATTAACTGAACTGCTCCTGCAAACGCATTCAACATATTCAATACCTACAAGCATTCTCTTTTCTTACCTTCAGACCACTGCATTTTGAGCCTTCGTCTGAAGGTTTATTCCAAAATAAGATCTTAAACTTATTGTTTAAGATAGCTCACACAAGCTGAAGGAGGATAATATGCACCTTAGTTCTGAAAAGTAACCATCACCGATTTTTTCCGTCTTCAAATACCAAGATTCTCCGACGTATTGCCAACGCATAACCACTCTTTTTAACTTTTACTCTGGTCTATTTGCCCAATGAAAAGTACCGACATTAGGGCTGACAAGTTATCTTGGCTTTTGAAGTGGTTACCAATGAAAGTGCACAGGGGCAAGAGAAGTTACATAAGCAGTCAGAAAGCAAAGAAAGTGTCTCAAGAAGGGCAAAATCATGAGGAAATGTGTCCGACGACAAGGCAGTTTTACGAAAAACGTCGGAGGTTGTGTTCTTCTGGTCATGACCTAGAAAACTCTACTCACCCACCAGGTTCATTCACGACCAGTAAAGAGTTTGGCGCCCGTCTAAGGTGGCTTCACATATATGTACAAAGGCATGAGGCAAGTGAATACAGACACTGATTTTTGGTCATAATTATCTGGCTTATTGCTGCCTAAACAGTCCGCGGACATTTTAACAAGCCAAAATTCGTTATTGTTAGAATTAGATATTTCTGAGCCTTGAGAATTTCATCACTGGAAATGAATAAAATGGACAAGAACTTCGATCAAAAGCCGGTAACCTCGTTTTTTTAGAGCTGTCTGAAATAGTACAGATGGGAAAAGCGAAAGGTATTCTTTCGGACTAAGATGCACGTCAGTTTATACATCGTCGTCCAGAAGAGGCATTATTGCATACCAAATTGATTCCATTAATTCAGGAGTAGATACAAAAGCAAACAAACCAAACAAAACTATATTTCCGTAGTTGATGATGCTTTTGACCATTCTGAAAGATACTGCAGTTTTTTAGCTGAAGTGGAATTTGTCCAAAGCTTAGCCAAGCTTACAGAATGGAATCTCACCAACAATACACGGATCATCATTTGTGGATGTCTTTAAGTTCCGTTTCCGACAAATGGACGCGTTCTCCGGTCCCGCCTTTATTATATAATGGTATGACTTTCTCTGGTAGTTGATCAGATGCCCATTGATTTGTTCACCAAAATTGACAGGCTGGCAAGATTGCTACACTACTAGTATTTTGACCTATTATTTTCTTGTACGTTGCACGATATAGACTGCTCTTCATTGCGAATCCGCCTGATAATTTGTATGGTTAAATATTACACGCATCTTTTACAACTCTTTTTCCACTTAACAGCAGTCTTATCAGTAGACTGAAGTGAGCTTATGGGACGATTAGAAATGACGCTTATTGTACCGCGCTAGTTCTATTCGAGTAGAGGAAAGGTACATAAACAACAATGAAACATGCAGACTAAGTGCCAGCATTGTCCAGGCGAAAGTAAAAATTTCATCTGAAGATATCACGACCATTAACCATAGCTTTGAACCAGTATTTGTAATACACGTATTTCAATTATTTTGTTCAGCTGACTGCCTGTACTTCACACTTGGCACCAACCAGTGATTTATTTGGGGGGGGGGCGTCATGCAGCTCAAACACGCATCTTTCAGTTGTTAGAACAAATGACGACATAACTGCTAGGGGTCACTCTGAACTAATTTAACTTTCACGATGACTGCGAATGTGCTTAATGTAAGTCACAATAATGCCGTCAGAAATGCACAAGATAGGTTAAAATAACATTACTTCCACGAATTTGAGTAACCTCGAGTAAGGAGGTGATTGTGGGGAAAAAAGCTTTGCGTTTAATATCTGATTTAGTCAGATTTTCCGGATAAATGATTTCAATTCTGTGAAAACGAGATCAAAAGGCAAAGGTCACCGATTCGTCTGTTCAATCTCCGTGGACCATTCTAGCCTAATGGTGCATTTCTGAACGTTTGGAATGCTCGGACTGTTCAGTGGTTGGGTGCTGTTCCCCATCGCTTGGGGAGAGCAAAACAAGTGACCCATCGCTCAGAGTGTAGATTAATCTGCCTCGACGGGATTCGACCGTCGAATGTACCACCCTTGTTATATCAAATGGACAGTGAAACAGATGAGTCAGGTTTTGTCGTTTTGCGTTACAACTCCTTACAGTCTTTGAAAGACCTAGGTTTTCCCCATTCATATACATTTTGGGGCTTTTCTGCGTGAAATGTTGTCGAGCACATGGGAACATGCATCTTTGTAATTTTCTGTGCAAACGTCTCTGTTGTAGATTTATGAGTCGTAGTCCAGGATACGGCCTTCCTGGTTATGTGGTTTTCTGATCCATTGTCACAGTCCTGTATTTTTCGGCATCTCCTCATTACTCTACCTCATGGCGGATATGTTACTATATCAGTACACTGGTTTGTTATAAATGGTCGAAGGGCTTGATTTCCTAATCGATTTTATATCTTAGATGAGTGCAACGGTTTAGATCAGAGTTGGAATGATATGTATATCAGAATGAGTCACACTCTTCAGAATGAGCAATGACCATGCTGTTAAGCCAGGTTTTAGATAATTGTCGCTTGACACACTGCAAACAAACACTGCCGGCAACGTTGACGTGCTAGAATTTATGTTATCACAAACCGCCTTGTAACCTGAAGGGTACAACATTTGATACAACGCTGCTGATGAACTCGCCCTTCAAGTCTAGCTTTTGATCGAAACATCTGATTCTCAACATCTCCACTTTATTCCTATTATCACTCAGGTAAGCACTACGGGGCCTATTCCTGTGACGGTTGCAAAGGATTCTTTCGACGTTCGGTAAGGCGGAATCATTCGTACACGTGTCGCCACAAACGCGCCTGTGTGATAACCAAAGATAAACGCAATCAGTGCCGCTTTTGCAGATTGCGCAAATGTTTTCGTGTTGGGATGAAAAAAGCTGGTGAGTCCAGTTTTTCAGCCGCTAATGTTGGTCTGATCTCGTTAAGTATTCCGATGCATTGTCGATCTAAGGACACAGAAGTATTATCTGTTAGATACGTTCGACGGAGGGATGCAGACAGCTAGTATCACCGTCTGATGGAACACCTTTCCTGCTTTGAAGATTAGTCATAACAGCAGCTCACGTTAATGGACCGCCATTTCTAATCACTTTTTCGAGTGCTTTAAGGCTCAGATTAGTGACAATGTCTGATGATTGAACCAGTCTCATGTAAATTGCAGCCCACGACAAATAGTAGGCATGAGGAGTGTGATTCCTACTCAAATGTCTCTGCATAACTACGAAAAGCTATTACTGGCTCAGAAACTTAAAAGCCATGAGAATGTTTTACGTCTATCAACATGATTTTCAGGGGGTTTTGTGTAAATCTGATTCCAAACCTCCATCATAAGATGACACATCTTGTTACTGTGCTGTATAGAGCTTAAACTCTAGTCGTCGATAGGATTTCGGCGCTTGCAACCACTTTAATCACTTGTGGTTTACGATACTGCAAGCCTTCATCAAGCGTGGGCAGGTAACCGCCCTTGGGCCTGATAAATCATTTGAGTCCATGTGTGCTGATGAAGTGTTTTAACGCGGTTGGTTCGCACATCAGATGTTCAAAGTTTGAATACTGGCATGAACAAGGATGTGCACCACTGATGAAAGTGTATCTACTGCTTCGTTTTCTGAAGTAAAGTAACTGAGAAAAAGTTTCTAGCGCGCATGGATTAATAATAGCCAAAGCTTCTTTGAAAAGAAATTTTCAATCAGATATACCTCCAGACTTTGCGCGCCCCATGAGTATAGGTTCTTCGGAATTAATACTAGTGTAAGGAAGGAGGTCTTTGCTGCAGAGTCATTTGTTACAAAATGTCAGCTGAATAGTTACACACTATTGGACAGGGAAGCAAAACTCTCACATGCATCTTGTTTACAAAAACTGAATATCCACTCTCTTCTTGAGCGCGTCTTCCTGAAATTTTCTGGATATCCATTGACCTCAAATCCATTACTCAAATCCAAGCAAATGCTACAAGCGACTCCACAAATTCCGCAATAGATCTCCCTTTTTAAGAGACGCAAAGTGAATTTACAAGAAGAAAACATACCACTTGCATGCCCTTCCATCAGTAGTAGTTTCATCGTTACACGTGTAGCTGGTTTGTTAGTTCAAATAGTTCCACTAGATGTTACCACCTCGTGTAAACTCTATCCAAGATAAATCTGAGAAGCTGTATTCACGAAACGAGCCGCGTTCAGAACTTATTGAGATCAAGAAAAGCTCACTATAGAGTCCATTCAGAAGAGGTGATTTCTCAGCTTTTTTCAGAGGAACATTTGCCTAGTGAATTTATTATATACACCTCTGGCAGCATGTACTTTTAACATTTTCACCATTCAAAGTTCTATTGACAACAAAAGTTGGCGGTGAACTGCAAAGCTATCAACACTGAGAAAGGACTCTTACAGTTTAAAGTAAGGAAGAATCAGTGATAAAAATAACAGCACTAAGCATACGGCGAAGTAACTGTGAGGATCATCAAGGTGACTTGGAGTGCTATAATAAAAGAAGCTGACCGGTGAAAGATAAATGATTATCACTGTTCTCTGTATACGACGGCAAAGGTTTTTCTACAACTGGATGAATACAGATAGTATAGTAAGAAAGAACGTAGAATAATTTCGAGTTTAAAAAAGCCTGCGTCCTTGCGTTAAAAACCACAGACCAGTTTGTTCATACAGGTCCAACCAATAGTATAAAAAGAATTCTAAAACGACAATGCACAGAACCACAAAATAATCTAAACCAGGAGCTCATGGACCGAACAGACTTCTACACTGACTGATTAGAATGTGGTATCAAGTATTACAATGTACTGCAAACGGAAGGGATGGCCAAACAGGTATTGCAAAAGGTATCCCTGCCAAAGTATAAAATCCATTCAAATAAGTAGCGGAATAGAGGCCACTAAAAATCATATACTAGCAATCAGTCCATAAGTTAGCACAATGATGAACAGATCAATCAGAAGCTAGTGAACCATATTCTTGATTAGCCATTCAAGTCAGAACTTGATATGGCGTCGGCGAAACAATGTATAGGACGAGAGACGGAAATTCACCCACTCAAAAATTCATGGACTGTGTTTCTTTGGAACCCTCAAAAACCAGTCACCAGATCGACGAACAGTTCAACTGCTATCAAAATTATCCACAGTTTATGATGATGAAGAATGCTGAGAAATCGAGCTTGTAACAAAAGTAGCTTATTTTCACATGGGAACAAACGGAGCCCGAAAAGCTTAAACAGTATGCCTTACGACGATAGTTGGTATATTATAAAACCTTGTAAAGACACCAGTTGATAGTATTAAATGCTAACTGCTAACTGCATTTTGACGGTGCGGTTAATTTATTGGTCAACAACACGGACGGTAGCACAAAAATATTGAGGCTGGCGGTAAACAAAAGTAAATCTGAGATTCATTGTCTGATTTAGTCAGTTATTGACGAACTGGAGACTATTAACGCGGTGTTCAACCTAATACTCATAACAAGACAGTCCCCAACGAATAAAATGAGCTAGCAAGGCAAATCATTGATTAGGAATCATTATCTATAAGCCATCGATTATGATCTGCTGCTACGTTCGAAGGCACAATATGTCCTCCCTGGATTTTGTGGACCAAGTCCTTGGATCTTCGGATCTTGATTTCAAGATAATGCATGCAGATGCAAAAGTGTGATGTTAAATGCCAATATTATCTCTGCCTATTGCGATGCAGTCCCATTGTGGAGTCCGGAAGCTGAAGGTGTTGCAAAGACGACGTTCAATTTTACTTTCGTTGGTAACTGTTGATCGGGGTGAAAAATATTTGATTAAAACTGAGGACATAAAATATATTTGCAACTTAATGAATGTAAACATTCTTAAGCACAGTGACTCGAATTTTTAATCCTTTGATCACAGTGGACCAGTTTTTATTATTACATAAGCAAAGCGCTTGAGTGTATTTAACTTTCCTTGTTTTCACCCAGTATCCATGAATTGCTACCTTAAGGAAGTCAATTTTATTAGTTCCGCTATAACATCAAATTATTTTCCGTCTGATATTTCAGCGGTTCAAAATGAACGCGATAAAATCAGCAACCGACCAATGTTTTTGGATTCAGCCACTTCAGGACACTCATTTCTAGATTTGAGACAATTAATGCAAGCTGAAGCATGTGCAAACTATGTGAGTCATGTGCTGCTAACTTGGGCTTTTGAGCTGACGAGCCGAATATGAACCCTGTTTTGTTATTGGTCACTTATGGTAATTGTATCCATAAAATTTGTTTTCGCACTACTCTGATTGAAGAATATTTCCTCTGTCCTAGCCTGAACACTTTGTTTGGCTTACAACAAATGAGGGCGTGGGTATTAGACACAAATGTCACTTTCTTGGAACGAAAATCAGCTTGGCAAGTTTATGGCCACCACGGGGCTAAAGCGCGCTCGAAGTTATTGGACTACCGTTTTTCTTACAGGAAAACATGATTCCGTATGAGAAGTGTGTTTCCAGTCTCACACGAGGAACGATGACCAGGTAGCTATCCTGGTCGACCTTACTGGTTAGGCTTTTAGTCTAAGAGAGCTTGGAGAGTGACGGGAAGTTTCGATTTAGTAATTGTGGCAACCAGTATCAGCAAACTGAGTTCCATATATATACATATATATATATATAAGCAACATGTTAAACGAAAGGAAAAATGGATGTTTTTGGCGTCCGGTCTTAAACATTATCCCTCTGAACTCCTCTGAAATTGAATTGTTTGAATTGAATTGAATTAGTTTACATTTGCCGTGTGGTGTATAGCTGGGTCGCTCTCATTGAGTAAGGATTAAAATGACCACTAATCACGCTCACGTAAGGATTCGCAGGAATCAAAGGATGTCATTAAGTCCATAAAATACTAGTTGCACGATGCTATTTATTCCTACCTGAGATCATTAGTTTGGCACAGAATGACCGGACTTCGTGCACTCTAAGTGATAATTGTCAGAGTTTTCCAATTTCTATGAGGCACATAATTTTAATTTTGATGGTCGCACAAAAACCCTGTGGTTTCCGTATAGTGCATACACTGCGACTGCTTTTATCTAAGATATAGAGGGAGAGGTTGATTTGTAGATTGATTATAGACGATAGATAAAAGATCATGAACAATTGGGAAAGAAAGATTGACTATTAGTTTGTTCATATTTAGTTAGGAACAGAATACTAAAGGCCGGTGGAATTGATACAACCATTTACGAAGCATTTCCCTGCATACCATTTCTTTCCCTGAGGAAACATCAAAGAATAATTAAATGACTTTTAAAAAAGAAAGGGTACCAGAAAGGACCAGTTGCTTTCCCATATGATTAAACAACACTGCTGTATTTGTTTGACTACACCCAGATTTATTGATCTAAGAAAGCGCGGCACTTTGTTCCAAATGGAACTACCACATATGCATTAATGAGGACAACTGGCGCAACCTTATGAACCTGTATAGTTCTTATGGCTTGCTGCATTAACTGTCTAAGCTAGCACCAACGAGTTTGTTTTATGTTACATAACGAGCGATAAGCGAGCATTACGAGACAAGTAATCCACGTCGATCAGTAAGAACTGGATAAATATTGCTTTGTTATTTATTTCACCCATCCATGATTTGTGCTGGAACAGCCATGTTTGATAGAAGGACCTGAAGTATCATAAGTCCCGGTATAAATCATACTTCGCAGTTTGCATGATCTTTAAACGGTTGTGTTCTGTGGAATACTTCATCCAATATTGTGATGGCTAATTTGACAACCTACGTAATCTCACGGAATAAGTTCTATGCTACTGATTAGTTCCATTCAGATTACTTCCACCCTTAGCGTAAAAATTTTGTTTATTCTTACACGAGTGTTTTGCAAGAGATTTAATAGCAGCCTCATCAGGTTTGCGCCTATTCCCAAGAAACCGTTCGACGGGTTCAAGCCAAATTATTCTTCACACATGGTATTTGGCTTTATTATCTGTAAATAAGGGTGTGTAGAACTACAAAGAATTGTTGATAACGCATATTATTATTAGCCATAAGAAGCATAGCATACAGAAAGGCTGGGAAAAACACTTTGTTTTGCAAATTTGTCAAGCACTTTGATGTGCGCCGATATACTTATTCCTTTGACAGTCCTTTTGCACTAAACAGCCGGATACATATATTCCTTTAGTGCCTGATCAACGTAATTTTACCAGTTTTTCAGTAAATCATCAAACTCAGGGTAATGTCTTCTGGAGAGTGCTCGTCATAGACGTTTTGTCTTGTAGGTCTGTGTAGTTTAAAATGCCCCAGTGGCTATTTGTTTGGTGAATCAAAACGCACAATTGCAAAACTTTTCAGTCCCAGTTGCTTTTTATGTTTGCTCGCAGAAGAACAAAAATTGGTTTCTTGCGGGTTTACTGAAATGCTCTATCTTTCGAAGTAGATTTGTCATCAAAGTCTCAATCTCTAGTCCACTGAGCACCTTGCAAATTCTATGAACACGTTAAATCAGATTGCATGTGGTGTTATTATGAATTTTTCTTGTGGTTTAGCTAAATATTTTTCTAAACTGTCTCACCTGCAGCTACCCAAGAATTATCATTAAAGCTGAAATAGTTACACGGGTCAAAAACCGGCTTTAAACTCAGATTATACTGTCTTTTTTCGGCTATTATTGCTATCATTAGCCTTTTTCTGTCTTTGTGTTGATGTGTGTTTGAAAGTACTGATTCAAGACGATTATATCTACACCAGGGATGACATGTTCGGCGCCTAGTCGCAGTAACGCGTGGGCTGTAGTAGTTGTCCGCTTGTACGCCTTCAAGGACATTACACAGAATTATATTCTACATGGAAAACTAGCAGTGGTATTTTTGGTCTATTATCTTGAAACTGGCGAATATCGGTCGGCAAACAATCGCGCTAAATATGGCGTCACGTTTTGTTTTGTTTGCTCCTGAACTGGTCCTTGTAATTCTCAACCCACTAATGCGTAAACCAGTGGATACCAGTGAACAAGAGAGGAACGGTTCAGGAAGCTCTGTATGATTCTTCAAAAAAGGCAAGCCAAAGTAATTGTTATTTCCATAGGATTCAGGCATCATCGATGCTATTCCTAGACATATTCTTTATTGTGCTCACTGGTTAACTGTTGTTTGTCGGTTTTCTGGTAGATACAGTCAAACATGGCGACAGTCTTTCTCCATTTCCTTTCTCTAGATTTGCTACTGTCACCCTATTTTCACGATCTCTGTGCACATGCATACCTTGGCAGGAAGCCCAAATTTTTTTTCTTACATTTGTGAGTTTTTAATTCGACAGGACATTCCCATCACATCTCAATAACCAGTTTCCATGAGAAGCGACTGTCGTTTCGATTTGATCTCATACCTATTCTTCACAAAAAACAGTAGAATTTGAGTGCTATGATTTTCTCCCCGAAGGCAATTCAAAAAAGTCCCTCCAATCCTGTGAATCGGTCAGCCCTTGGTCAGTGTTCCGAATGGCGTTCAAATACCATTCCGTCAGATAACAGAGATGATGAGGATCGCTTAGCTGATGTGGCAGATATATGTGATTCGATCAAGACCCAGTTGTTCTTCCTCATCGAATGGGCCAAGAACCTACCTAGTTTTGGAAAGTTGACCATGAACGACCAGGTAAGATGTGTTGGTTTTGTGAGCTACAGCCTGTTGAAGAGTTGGATGAGTTCGGATAACAACGTAGTTGTTTTCTTCTTCTAGGGAAACCTTAAGGGCTGGATCGGAAAAGATTTATTTCACAAACCAGTCGTCAGTTAAAGAGTGTACAAATGAATTGATTATCAGGAATCCGGGCTTAAGTCCAAAAGGTGATCCTTTTTTGCAAAAACTACTGTACCTATTTAGTATGACAAAAGAATTAGGAACTAAATAATTTTCAACAGTTTGGATTTTGCAACTAACAAAAGGTGACACGCCGGGTTTTTTGGAATAGAAAACGAAATTAATATAAAGCTTGACAAATGCACTAACTAATCACATGCACATTCTTCTCTATTTTTCGTATATTTTTTGAATTGAATAAGATTTTTTATTCTTTTTACTGCCCGCCATCTTACTGAGTTTGCAATCGTAACCTTCATATTTTGGGCCGGTGGTTCCAAACCTACAGCTCATTCCTTCTCTCACTCCCCCGCATGAACCCATTGTTCAACCCAAATTAATTTGAATTACACGGACAGTGAAATAATAAGCGTTTAAAGAGAGGGAAGCTGCTTACACACTGATTCCAAATCTCATACTCAAGAACCCTCTATCGTCGATCATTAGATAAGAAACCCCTTTCTTCAACAGTGTCTGTCAACGTCCCTTAGCGGTCATAAACCATTGTGTAGTCCCTCAGAAACAAACCCGCTTACAGTAGATGATTGATGCCAGCATCGAGTGCGCTGATCTGTCTTTACGGCACTACTGTGAATCAATGGTATCCAAATCGGATTCGTGGGCCAAAAGTGGTCAAACCAATGGACGCCTGTATATAGTAGGAGCCATGGACGATTTGTTCCTAGCCGAATTTGATGCTTCATAAAGCGCTTGATGCCGATGTAGAGCCGAAAGAATACGACTGATGGACAAATGGGCAGATGTCATTTGCAAGCCACCAAAACGGCCCAAGCATTACGGTATGACTATGGACACCAGCGTACGTTATTTTCTCGTCACTAAGGTTATCCATCAAAAGTTTCAAGTTAAGGTTGCGCCTCCCTTGGCACAGCACTATGCAGGTGTTATCAGTAGCCGCCAATAAGAACATCGACAAAATGGCCATACATTACCTGGCGATATTCTATTAATCCTAACTTTATTTATGCCACTCTCACAATGACAGTGCTAATGACAATTTTATTGCAACATGGACAAAATATACCTTGGCCCCAAGTGATTATGTTCAGCAAGTGGACTTGTGATCGCGTTGGTGCCCATAATGTCAATTCTACTAGGGAATTTGCATCCGTATTTTTGCGCAGCTGCACGTTGTCAGACTGGCTTCAATGAAGTATTTGAGCCACTGCTGAATAGTCCACTCGTTTTACAGCATTTTGAAGCGCCACCTCCCAATACCTCATGCCCGATCGGATTGCGTGTATCACGCCATTCTGTCCAGTGTCAGATGCTTTCATGATTTGACTTACCAAAATGGGGAAGTAGATAGTGTGCTCTCGACGAGCTATCATCGACTTTACGAGTAACATCGCATTCGTACTAGGTTTGTTTTATTATTAAGATCAAAGATAGGAACTTCAGAATCTTCCATTCTAGCTTTGTTATACGCTTGCGAAAACGGAAAATGGGAAACTAAACAGAAAGTTCGGTTAAATCCTTGATTGTAATATTGGTGGCTTGGGTGCATTAGTGCTATTTGATCAGGTGGCTGTTGATCTGTTCGCCAAGCTTGACAACAGCGCAATGAAGACGTCTCCTCGAATGGTGATGAAACCTTTGCACATCAGCTACCAAGCTCTGCAAAAAGATCAACAGTCACCTGATGAAATACCAAATTCTCAATTCCCGGATCAATTTAAATAGAGCAATCAGAGTGACGTTATTGCAGATGAATCCATTTTGCACAATCTCGTCAGACGCAATATGTGTGAACTAGAGGAAGATAAGACGACTCAGTAGTTAGTAGCATTGTTTATATGGAACTAAAATTTAATGTGAGCATCACTGAATAATAGTGAAGCTGAAGTCTTTCTGTGTACAGGCTTAAATCAACCAAGAAGTATTGTTCCAAAGACCTCAATCTTGTGGAAGACTGCTTCTTGTTACGACATTGAGCCTTACATTTCATTCATGGTCATGACAAGAAGTCCCTTGAAGCAATATTGATTAGTCGATTCAGGTCTGTACTGATCACTGGAATTACCATTTCGTTCCACATAAATCATGCTGCTAGCCCAGTGATTTGTTTCATATTTTCTTTTTTCGTGTATTGAAGCTGTACGAAATGAATTTCCCATCATCCTACACGATCACTGTACAGTTTGCTGCATTAGCTGAGTGCACGCCCTATGGTGCGTAAACACTTACTCTCTTACACAGTGACTGACCATATGAACAGTGCGTCAATTCAAAATACACCATTACTTTTGTAACTATTATTGCTGTTGTTTTGCCGACTGTATAGGTTGCCCTACTACGATCCCATGCAGGTGAAATGCTTATCTTGGGAGCAGTTTGGAGATCCCTTTCTTCCGCACTTCCAACAGCATCTCAGAAACGTGTCAATGAGGCTTCCCACAAACCAACTGGTGAGAAAGCGGATACTGACAAACTAGAATGGGTTTCTTCCGATAGGAACATGTCCAATCACCTCCAGGCATCACGGACGTGCACTGGTATGCTGAATCAAACACCATCGAGTAGAGCCGACGAGAGAGAAAGTTCTTTGGACGATCCACAGTTGATCCTGTTAGGCAACAGTCGTATTATTTCGAGAAACAACCCGCAACCTGAGATCGCAGACATTGCTAGACGCATACTTGATCAGCTATATCAACCAATGCAGGACCTTTGTTTGGAAGAAGCTGAAATCGCTTGCCTTCGTGCAATAATATTTTTTGACCCCAGTAAGTTCAGGGAGCTTTTTTAAGTTGTAGGTTTAGCTTGAAACGCAAAGTATAGTTTGCCGATTACGACTGAAGCTATCTGTGAATAAAATCAGTTCAGCTTAAACAAACAGGACAGAGTTCCTGATATTCGTGTTTTGTGAGCATGTGACAGGAATTTTCCCGCTACGTAAACGGAATGAACTCATGCTCAAAAACTACATACCGTCACACATTTCGTTGGACCGATCCAGGCGAATTCTGTGGCTTTCCTAAAATGGTACTACTGTGAAGTCCAAAACTGGAGTGCTATAGCTCCGAAAAGAATTTGAGTGACACGCGTAAGTGGCTCACTCGGGAAGAGAGCTGGGTGCGCCTGGAACCGCCCACGAAGACCTTGGGGCATTGTGTAATTCATCTTCTCCAAACCACGAAGCTGTGAATATCATGAGTAACATTCTTCAAATTTTAGTCGTCTCTTTCCCTTTAGCACCAGCTGAAAATTTATTCTGCTGCTTTACTTTTTCCGATTCGTTACCTTATAAGCGCTTATGCACCAACCCGTTGAGTACTTTCTGAAACCAGCTAAAAGTGCACAGCACAAACCACTTACTCACGTATGTTGAAAATGCGTGTGCATTTGACTAGAGTTGACTCCAGCCCCTTCTGACCAGCACGATACACAAAAATATATTGTTGATCTAACACCAAACAAATTCCGCGATCCCTAATGCTGACATAACGAAACGGTTTTCATGTTCAAGGACCATCAAAACAAAGTTTGGTTCTGACGTAATCTGCTTTTAGAAGCTTGATAGCTTCCAAATGAACCTAGGCCAAAGAGTTGTCTGACATGCATAATACCTCTACATTCATGCGGTATGGCCAAAAATTTCCGTTGATCCAGGCGGCGACCGTGGAACTGTCAACAGTATTCTCGTCACGACAACATTCTGAGTGTAAAAATTCCCACTGTCTTTCAAACTGTAATACACTAGTTTTCAATGGATGCACGTAAGCCGTTCCTTGTTTAAATACACCCGAATGTGTATTGCAAGTGTTCGCAGGCTTTGAACGAATAACCATACCCTTACACTAGCTGCCCACTTCCCTACGCGTGTTTCGTGACCTCTATACAGCAGAATGTTTGTACTTTCGGATACCTCCAACTAAAAATAAGGATAACTGTTTACGAACTGATGAAAGCAGCAATGCTGAACTGTTAGCCAACGTTATACGTACATAGACATCAAATTACAAGAAGACAGGAAAGTAGCGTATTTTAATAGCAGGATTTCCACATCGTCAAAAGCCTGCTTCCGTTCACTATCGTAAGTATATCGGTCTGGTTAACCTGTGATCCTGGTATTCACGCGATTGGAGACTCGTAAAGTATGGTCGTTGGCTTGTTCGCTGTGCTGGTCAATTTGCTTGCAAACGCTTCATCGCCAATCGAGGTGATATTATCCAGTGCGTTATGGGGAGCGTAGTGGTGGGCACAACCACTAACCCTCCGCTACGCACCATTACGTCCCCTAACAACGCACCGATGATGTCACCTCGATTGGAGAGGACACGTTTAAAATCCAAATACCCAGCTCAGCGAATATACCAACGACCATCTACGCTACCTGAGCTACCAACATTATCCTCTATAGAAAATTATCGTAGCGTATAGAGCGCATGAAGATCCAAACATCTATAGTGATTTGGGTGCCACTGTGAAATAATATTGGAGACGTATGAATCTGAATTTCGTTTAAACAATGTAGCGGAAATATTGACAAATTTTGTAAGCTGAAACGGCCTGAAAATATTAGCAAACGTTGTGTCGTTGAGACAGCACTGCAAGCTCCGGCTTGAAGATATGAACTCCAATCGGCAAGGGCAACAAGCCCCTTAACCTGCAACTTTGCTCTCCCGTACGTTGGCAGACCTCACTCTCCGAAAGCTCACTCGGCCGTGCGTTAAGCGTGAAAATAATGTGGTATACACTGGTTTTGGCGGCGAATGGCCGATTAGCCACTCCGTTTTTAGCCCTGCTTGCATTGACCCGACAATCAAGCTCCGGCTTGAAGATATGAACTCCAATCGGCAAGGGCAACAAGCCCCTTAACCTGCAACTTTGCTCTCCCGTACGTTGGCAGACCTCACTCTCCGAAAGCTCATGTGGTACATGTAACCAGTGCAAGTCTGATGTGCGTCAAACATGGCAGTGATAAGTAGAGCGCAGGTGGTTTTCACTCTCCCCCCCCCCGGACGTAACATGGCGATGTTGCATTGAAATCAGCTGGTTCACTGAAAAGTGGAAAAACTAGACAAGACCATCGTGAATAATAAAGACAATGGCGAGCTGTGCTGTCATAAACTTTGGCTGCTATTGGAGAAGTTTACACATCGGGAGATGACATTCAGTTACCCAGGAACAACAAATCGGGTCAGATGTATCAGACTGAAACAGTGGTTCATAATATCTTCAACCCATTACCCTCTCATCTCCGCATGTATAATTTCAATATCCCCTTCATCACTCAAATTAAAGGACAGAGTAATCACAAGGTTAAATCTTCCAACGCAACACCATGTTCCACAGATAGAAGTGGATGTATGATTCTTCCGAGTAAGTAACCACAGAAGTGGACAATATGTCCCCTTCCCCGTAGTGGTAAGAAGAGAAATATAACAGCTACTTTGATAGATCTATTTGTCAGATTGATACACGATTAGGACGGTCAAGATGTCGAATGGTGATCTAGAGACCTATGAGCAGCTGCATTTGAATGGGCTATTGGGCTACTTTAGTTATTAGGCAAAGCATTTAATTTGTCACTAACGAACCAAAAATATTCTTAGTTATTCTTGACTAGCTCTCTACTACTGAAACAATGTAATCAAAACCTCCCATCAGCACCAACTTCAGACTGCCAGGCAGCAAATCTGTCGAACAGATTGAAGCTGACAATTAGTCACAACTACCTTCAATGTTTTAGGTGCACTAGAAGGACTGCTGTCAAGTGAGCGTGTTTTGGTAACAACACAAACACGAAGAGGATCTTTGATTCACGAGTCCACTGAAGCAACAGAAGTCTTCCAACGGTGGAGTCCTAAATCGTGGTGCAATAAGCACGACTGGTGCTCATTGGTGCAAACTAACTCCTGAGTTACTATGTACTACTGGTTACATTTGAGCAGCTAAATCATTTATCATTATGTTTTATGATACAGTTGATCACTCTACTGACATTGGCGCGCAACATCGATCTTGCATACATGTATAAAGCAAAACTGATGACCTAGTTTGCTCCGGAGCGAATTCCGCATTCACAAATGATGCGAAACCACGGGAAGGGTAGAAACGAGCAGTCAAACGATGACTTGGCAGCGAATGATGAGAGCTATTACCAACAAACCCACCTGCGCTGGTCATTGCGGTCTTCCTGGATAGGGACCCCGAGACGGGACAGGCCAATGGTTAGAGACACTGTCAGACATAGCCCAGTCGCGCCCTCAGTGGCGCTCATGCATCCAAGCTATTGCCTTCAATTCCTCCCTTCAATTCCCCCACTTAACAGTCCACTGACGGTGCTGTATTTGTGCACCAATTTATCGGCTTCCGCCTCCATTGCGCACCTACCTACCCCAGCTCACCAAATCATCGGTGAACGACACTGGAGCAGCTACAACCACTTTACGACAAGTACGCGGTTCTTACAGCTGACACAAGTTTGCGGTAGGAGTGAAAATATATCGCACCTGGTTGATGTTTTAGTGGCAATTATCGTCTCTTGTTATGAATAGAATAAGCAGTTATCCTATTAATATTGTGCGATCACCTCTGCTACTTCTTCTGCGGTCTGCGGCGACTCTTTTTGAGCTGAAACCCCCACCGTCAACTGCAAACAATTGTGTGAGAGACCTAATCATGTGGTTTTGTGCTCGTGTAGATGTTTTTAACTCATCGACCAAAGAAAAGACTATTTAGTTGAAGATTCTATCCGGATCTGCTCAGGAGTTAATGCGTTCACTGCGTCGTAGCAGTTTAGTCACTGAATTGGCCCGAATAGAAATTGGAAATGCAAGACTAAATATGAGAGCGGAATTCGAGTTCAACCAGGTCGATATTTCACCACTAAGTGAATAGATGAGTATAAAACTTTTGGAGGCAGTGCCAAATATCCTTAGAACGCATAGTCAGCAAACCTTTCCAGCTCCCACGCATTCCACGAAGAAATGCTAGACGAGTTTTTCCAGACTATCCTGGGGCCGCTTTGTTTAGTCAAATGGTTCGCAATAAAGTTTCCTTTCTCACATTTATGTAAACTGGTTAGTTTGTGAATCAGCTGGTTTGGACAGCTGAAGGCTAAACATATAGAGATATGTCACCAAATCATTAGTATGACATTAGTGTGACCAATGAATGTCACAATTAGAGACGATTGAAGATTTTAAAGCATGTTTTGGATTATGTGCCAGAAGTGCTGGCAACATCGAGGACCGTGTTTCCCTCGGGCTCGCTAAGACATATCCGACATCATTTCTCAGGTTCATGAGTACACGATCAGCCATCTGTTGATTGATTTGTTATTCAGTTGCATTCACCATTCGGCTTCCACTTCGTTCGAACGAGTGACTAGTTGGACTTTTCCTAGATATGTCGCAGTCTTTTTGGTTTCAATCAGAGTGAATCAGAAGTTTATGCGTTTACATTGATGCGAAATATCTTCTTTTTTGAAGTCCTACTCCCGTTAGACCTTGGAGTGTTTATTGCTAGAAGCATATGGAGCAGCAGGTGACCATGCCGTACAGTATGTACTCACCCGTGGAGCTTAAACTTGTGCCAAAATGACTACTTCGTATGACCATTCGTCAAGCTGGGTGGTTCACTAAGACATAGTTGTGAATGAAAGTGAAAAAATACACAAATAGGTGGTAATAGAAAACAAGGCCTTACAAATATGAATGCCGCATGCAAATTGTAGAGCTAAATATGAAATGACCCTATTGTATCAAGAATTGGGGATTTCAGTATCCGGCTACCAGACAGAGTAAGTTCGCGCATTCTCGAGTAGGAAGAAAAATATCCAGATTGAATGCCACTGAAGCACTCCGGAAAAATATCTGACCAGCATGTTAAACCGGTTTGAAAAGGATCACCGAGGAGTGTGAAAATTCTTAGTGAAACGACCGGCAAAAGTAACGGGTGAATAGCACAATTTCTCGGGATAGAAAAAATTTCGGAATAAAACTATGAACGTATTCATACGATTTTTTGCTGGTAAACGAAAAGGTGGGTGGTTGAATCCGTCCAGTTCGACAGATCGTAAGAAAGCAAACACACCTATCAAAATGCACAGCTGATGGTCGTAAACTTATGTTCCCCTTTTTTGAGAACGCCTGACCTCAGGTGAACGACAAATAATGCCACTTTTATCTACTTCGAGGTGTTAAAATACAACCTACTCTCTGTGAGGAAGTTTTAATTTCGATGAGCTAGCAAATGAAACATCTATCACGATTAAAGAGCTTAGCAGAGTTATAGGATTAGTGTAGAAGACGGTATGAAAAAAGTGAAGGCGTGGTGGGTTTAAACTGCAACAAAAAGTAACCGTATTGCCAGGCTAGAGATGATGAAGAACTTACATCCGGCACAATGGGACTTGTTCGGCAGGACAAGGTTATCCATTGCTACAAAGATAGAAAAAAAACGAATGACTTGAAGTTTATTCAGAGACAGAACAAATATCCTACAGATCATATGTTACCCTTATAGGTCAGTCAAAGGAAGTCAGAAGGATATTTTTCTTATGATGATTTTTACAGTAGAAACTTCCCCATAATCATCGGGATACACGAACAGGCCGCTGATCTTGGAATATTTCAAATCCACATTTGCAGTAGAGAAAAAGTTTGTAAGGGACCAACTCCTGCTACGAAAAATAGTACGCTGTAATTAATCAGTCCAGTATCTTCATAAATAGGGTGCTATGCCAATGATTGACATAATGTAGATAGTCCGGTGATGCAGTTGTCGTACGACGATAATGATGAGTTATGAATGTGGAAAATTGAGAAGAAGTAGGAAACATTTCAACACTCATTGACAGAAGTTACAAACCAAAATTACCGAATTTCATAGATACTTTAAAAACTGGCGTTCTAGTTTGGTCATTAGTGCAGATTTCATTCCGGTTACCCTTCCTGACATCTGTGGTCGCATTTCTGAGCGGAATTCGCACGGCATGTACGTAGCCTTAATTCATTTGTCTCCTTCGTCCATAGAGTTGAAAGGAACTGGCCAGCCCAGTACCACAGGACAGTGAAGTACACTATTCAAACTCTAGAGATGGGAGACAAAGAAAGATGAAACTTCATCGGCGTTACATATTCATTTGTAAGGAGAACGATTGCGCGAACGGTATTAAGCTGTAGAAAGTATTTGGGAGACATCACGCTCAAGTAAAGATGACTCTAGATGGAGTTTACCAGAGAATGATAACTAGAGCTTGAGAGGACGGTTGGCAGAACACAACCAATATCGTGTTCAGGGAAGGAGATGGGTGAATTTGCATCCGATCAGAAAATTATGGTCGGGTGAAAAAACATCACGTATTAGTTGACCGACTTAACCTTGCGGGCCGTGCAGATTTACCTCATTATACTCAACTTTTATTGAGGAAAGGCTAACACTGACTTTGGATTCAGAAATCAAAAGAGAACCCCAAAGGATCCATCATGTATACTCGAGGAGGTTTGGGAGAGGGAATGTGATGGATTTCTGAAGGGAATCCTGTATAACTCAGGTAGGCATTTACAAGCAATCTTGAGACGTTAAACATTTTGAGGGTATGGAAGAAACAACCAAAAGAAGTCTTCTCAGAATGGGTAAATATACAAAGACATCCGTTTTTGAACAACACAACCTTTGTTGTTTATAGAAAGTATCGACAGCCAATCCATAATTTCCCTCTTCCTGAGCTGTAAATTCTCATTCTGTCGAAACACATCAGGACGAACAAGGAAGAACTTAGCCCGCTAAGTGTAGTGGATATCTTTGATGTTAAATTGTGGTCCCACCTCTCACTCGCGCCGAAAAGTTCATTACATGCAGCTTAGGCGAAAGAATAGTGTCACAGAACAGTCTGGTACCAATCAATGGTTCAACAAATCAGATGATTTAATTTTCAGAAACGGCGCAAAATGAGAAGTGACTTCAGAATATCCTACTTGTGAACATGACTGAAGTTGGTTGTGCTGGTTCCTGGTGTGTGCATGCTAGGTAGGCAGTGGGATCAATAAAGCACCTTTCTGCACCACCGGAGCCTGTACTATTATCATTTATAGACCCGTGCGTACCTATTCAAAATGACTACAACTTCAGTAACTGGCCGTATCAAAACTATGAATGCTTTTAGTTGAGGGCGAATGGAGGAATCAGGAAAAACGATTGGCCTTACTCTTATTTCGTACACTGTATATCACAATGTACGGCAACCCATAACGTTCCGCCAGCTTGGCCGAAGGGTGAACAACATAACCGGCCAGAAAATCAGTGTACCTGTTTATGACGAGATTGACAAGTATGCATCTAACAAAATACAACATCGGTACTACTACAAAACCGGTAAACTCAAGTACACAGTTGGCAGGTGCCACATCGGCTGAACACAGAATGACACAAATACCAACGTAACATACTCCAGTCTATGGGGCCGTTACACAAAGTAACTAAATAATACGCCGGTTGATCGCCTAGAACCATGCATAGGTGAAGTAAGGTGGACAATGTGATTTGACAATTTTACTTCTACCGTCATCCTCCTCCTTCAGTACCAAGAATAGCCGATTACAAGCAGGGCTTCCCATAAATGAGTCTAGAACAAAAACCAGCTGGACCTCATATCAAAAGGAACCACTCACTAAAAAGCTCTTAGTCTAGCTTTCTCCAGCAATAAGCAACCAAAGCTGTTCTGAAGCACTTAGTTGAAAGTGGGAGACAATGTCTCATCGACCGAATTGTTCTCGTAAATTGGTCTCACTTCATTAGGTTTATTGTTGCCAATAAAATATCATTACGGAGTTGAAAAACACGAGGATATTTCATATGCCAGATAGATTATCTTGAGTGTTGACCCGGATAATATGAACAGTGCTAGGGAACTTTCGACTAGGCCTAGGTGGTTGAATTTGTTTATCTTGTTTTATATGAGCAATGAAATGCCTCAATGAGAGACTAGAGTATTTCTTTCTGACAAATTATTCATTCTGTTTCTACTAGTCCTCAGAAAATCCTGATAATGATCGGATGCATTTTCCACAATTTTTTTCTAATGATACAGATTGCCCAAACTTGACCGAAAGTGGACGAAGTATGGTACGAACGTGTCAGTATCAGATACAAACCGAACTTATGCACATGATGAACGACAAACTTTATCTACCTCAGGGGCGCTTCGGTGCCCTCTTACTACTGCTGCCAGACCTGCGGTCAATTACCCACCGAATGGTTCACAAACTGCAACTTGCCAAGCAAATGGGGCTCGCTTGGTTAGATGGACTATTATCTGACATTTTGTTGAGCGGTGAGTTTAGGCTGAGTATATCCAACTGTTCAAGATACTTTTGTGTTTTATGTGGCAAGATTCGATAGCTCACCTGGAAATAAATTGCTTCCAGGAGAGTACACCAATGTGGAGCGTCCATATTAGCATTCGCCGCAGTCCACAATCTATTATGTGATTCGCTGGCCTCTACAGTCTTTTTGTCGATGTGTTTTATGAGTAACTATCACCTTATCACCAGTCGGTTCCTGTCATCGAGGATGATGATAATGTTGCTCATTACACATTCCAAAAAATTTTCCACTGTCCTTCATCCATATTGTGTTACGTAATACTCAGGGGTACTTCGGCATACTTCGCTGTTGTTCAGACTAGTCTGTCCCACAGAGGTCATATCACCAAAGACCAAGCTGTGTGTGTATTCGTAAGTGTGTCTGATTTCATGTCAAATGACCTTAGCAACAAGAGTCAATACGTTTAACCGTGTACGACACCAAAATAAAGCACAACTCCTAATTACTAGTCACTCGGCTTATCTGTTTACGCTATACGCCTGCTCCTAGGCAGGAAGCTACTGCTTAGGCTAGCAACTCCAACGAAAGAGCATCTTCATGCGACAAATGCATGAGTTACAGTGTCATTTTTGTGTTTTTAGTCTTTTCGTGCCACGAGATATCAAGAAAAAATGAATAATTCAGTGCTTAATTGCACACAAAATGTAGACTTTCCGGACAAAACCAATTTACAAGCCCAAACGAGCTTCCGTAATTGCATAGGAGTGCCGCCGAACTCGTGTTTTGGAGAACGAGATCCCAAAACCCTCGACCAAACGGCTGTATAACCGATCCCTCCTTGTCGCCTGAGTCCCGCTACTGACAGAATCACAAGTGTTGACGAGCTTTTCGAAATGTACTCGCATCTTTACTGAAAACACAACATTTTTCATCAACCCTGTCTGGAAAATGCTTCTACATTATTTACGCCACCAACTACTTATTACTGTGTTTCTCTCATATATTTGACTTTAACCCAGTATTGCTTTTCCTGGTGATTCTGATGTCACAAAATGTTACTTTTTGGCACAATACAATAATCATCACAGTTCAAAAAGCAGTGATGAAACATCGTTAATAGTACCTCTTCTACTACATTTGCCAATAGGTAACACTGCAAGCAGCTCGGAACAGAAGAGCCCTCCGGATTTTCAGCCATCTCAACCCACGGCCCCGGTCGAATTTAGGCGTGGAACGCAAGTCAAGTGTATTCCAACAGATGGCACACTGGCGAATCCCTACTTATCACCAAAAGGGTATCCATCAACCGCATATTCGTCCAAATGCTCACTAGCCAACTACATAGAGGATGTAACTTCAACCTCACGAGAAGAATCAGCTAGCAGAAGTATACCCCAGAGTTCAAATGAGCGGGTTGTCGCATCAGGTCACCTAAGCGAAACGGCAACGTTTCTCCCACGTGGATGCCGAAGTCCAAGCACACCAGCTTTTAGGGCTTTGAAACCCGATTCGGAAATATATCCGTTCATTTCAATAGCCGATGGGATGGCGAGCCGTGGTCAATCCATTTGGACTGAATTGTCAGCTGGAAGAAACATTGCTGACGCGACCATATTTGATTACTGTCGCCAGCCGATATTTGGAGGTGAAAGCCGTTCGACTGGATTGAATGAAAGTTGGTCTCTAATTTGTGTTGCAAATCTTACCAAAGAAGGCATCCATTTCATTGTCTGTAAAACGTCGTCACCTAGAATGTAACTTATGTTTGGTTATACTTGACGTTCATCCTTACGACCCAACGTAGACTCTTGCTAATTTCTGCCGAAATCTGTTCACACTTATAGCCAACAGCTTGTAAAATATTCGGCAGTATTAAACAAAAGTTGCCGTGTTTAGAAGTGCACTGGCATAGTAGACCTGTATATAAGACGGCACGCATGCCCCTTCACTAATATATGGAAGATATCCGTTTTGTGCGACATACTCTAACTTGCCAATTAAGCTACTTTTGGAGGCTGCACTGAATCCCTGTTAAGTAGTTATTTCATGGTATTCTCTAAATGAATGTGCTGTACAAATGTCGGCTTATGTTTAGTTTTTTACGGCATTTGAGGGAGGTGGAAACCGTTGATAGTCTGTGGAAAGTGTTCAGCAATTTTATACACAGTGCCATGTTAAAAAATACACTGATATCTCGAATATTGTAAGAACCAAAAATTAGGTCTGCACATTCAGCTGGAGTACATCGTGAGCGAGAGATTCAGCTGAGATTCAGTTGAGTCTGTTACTACGAATGGGAAATTAAACTGCAAGTGAATGTATTCTGCCAGTTGTATACAATTTGGTATCAGAGTAACTAGCAACTGAGGGTCTTCGTTCACTTGATGAGCCCAAAGGGAGACAAAACCGGCGACGGGTTTTTGCTAGCCTTGGAAGTAGCGTTTTACGTCAAAATGTTTCGTTCAAAACATTGGTTATTACCACACAGAGTAGATCCTTCACTTTTAAAGCAGACTTCTTTTTTTTGCCATAATTCAAATAAAATGATCGCGTACTTCAAGATACAATGTGTTCATTTAGACAGTAAAACATAGATAGATAGTAAAACAAACTTCTGATGGGTTTTACATATAAAAAAGTGATTACACGGAAATTCCACTATATACAAACTTTGGACGTACCTCAATGCAGAATCTTCTACCCTCCAAAATAGTCCAATTTAGAAGGTATCGATATCTACTGCTGTGCCTATTTCGTTTCTTGCTGTGACTTAAGTTTTCTAGTTATTTATTTGAAGCATGGCGCATCATGTGCTGCCTAGAGCTTTATCCTCTTCCTCTCCATTGCAGTACATCAAGACGAGTTCACCAGCTCAACCTCGGCTTCTACTCAATCGATAGCCGATAATCCAGCAGTATCTGGGCCCTCAATATACAATGAGGCTTACTATGTGCCGTATACCAGTATTGCTTCATCATCCAAATTGTATACAGAAATTGGCCAGTCCCCTATCGTGACAACTGCCTCCCACCGAATGAACTTGGTGCCACAACTTGTGGGCAATGTGCTATCCAGTATGATGGTTGGTGAATCAAATCAAGAAGAAGAAACTTATCGTTTTTATTCCGACACATGATGTGGCTCGAGACGAGCAACATTCCACACGAAGATGCATACAAAAAAACTAAAAATTCACATATACGCAGTAAACCCACGAATCAGGTTGTCGAATTCGCTTATCTTTCTTAGATTCTTTCTCTTAGATTCATCTTTGTGATCACATTTTCGTATTCTATACCTCGAATTGCATATCAAATCATGCTTGTGGCACCCACTTTGTTTTGCGCAACCTCAGCATATCAGTGAGTCAGTAAAGAGGTATCCTGACCGATAAAGCTTGTGCCTCACTAAAAAGGGATATGGGTTTAGTATAGGGAACATTCTGGATCGCAAAGCAATAACAAAGATACCAAACTACAATGTTTTTGCGATTTAAATGCTCGTGTAGAAATAATTTCGTATAAACAGCATTCATTCAACCAATGAAAAAACGCATTCTGAAGTTCCTTGTGTCTACCAAGACGAAGACTCAAGAGAGGTGCTACGCATCAACGAAATTGACGATAAAAGACGTATTTCAGTCAACGCAGAGATGGAACATCTCAGCGAGGTGTGACGGCACTGCCGTCTACACGCATAATTGTGTCCCATCATCATCATCATCGACAGCATGACATCAGTGTTCAACACTGATGCTTCATTACCTTACAACCATGATTTATTTGAAAACCTTATTGTAAAGAAAAAAGTAAAGTTGGACGGGGAAGGGACTTGGTGCTAGCCTATCACAACCATTCCGCGGTGCCTACACCTCCAGACACTCAATCAGGCAATATGGGCAGAAAACGACAACAAGAACGCCACTGACATCGATTGGCAGCCATATCCTGTAGTGTCTCCAACCAGGCAAAGGGTGGATCACGCGGTCCCCATCCTGGAAGGCGAGTAGCACCGACAGCACCCAAGCGTTTCGTGATCTCCTTCATACTCCTCT